GTCTCCTCGCATTCCTCAGCTTCAAACACTCCATAAAGCTTTGGAAACCGAGATATTTTCTTTTCTTCTTTCTTTTGTGAAGTAGGTCATTTTGAGTGTGAAGTATTATGTTGTCCCCTTTTTTCCTCCTTCCCCCCCGAAGTCCTGTGGTTGAAGAGTTATAGACATAGAACCTGTACACATGACTATGACATTATTCAAGTGGAAGAGTGATTTCCAGGGGGAAAACGACACAGAACTTGGAGAAGAGGCGAGTTCAGGGGTCTAACTGATGATGGAGGATAAACTCAACCAGATGCTTAGCTGTAAGTGGCTGTGCTGATAAATAGCCCCACCTGAGGGTCTTGTCTTTGCTCCTGGCTCATCCAGCGCAGAGGTGTCCTCTGGTGACGCGGGCTTTTGGAGTTTATGAAACCTGTTTCTGCCTGTTGTAATCAATGCACTATTTTTCAAATGGTGGAACTTAGGGAGCCAACCCAGAGAAGATGGGGATCTTCTTAGTCCTGTCAGGATTCTCTGCAGTTCCGTTTGCCGTAGGAAATGTTAGCGTTTACTGGGAAAGTCTCGAAAGTTACCAAGTGTCTCTCCGTTGAAGGAACTTGATCTGCAGTGGACCCAAGCAGAGCGTTTTACTCCAGTTCCTAGGCTGATCTGTCATCTCCCCTATTCCTGGAGTTCTCAGGCTTTCTAAGGTAGCTTGCCCACAGTTCTCCCCGTAGATTGTCCTGTGTTGTCCGGCTAACAGGTCGTTTGCCCCATTCACGTGCGTGGATTGCAGGCCTAAGAAAAGCCCGTGCTTCCATCTTCAGGCCTGCACATTTTAAAGATGTTCTCCGAGCTGCCCACTTGACCAGAGCCCTCACGGCAGGAAGAGGGCCTTCCCTCTGGAGCCCAAGTCCGCTGAGCCTGCCCTCCCTCCCTCCTCCCTGCCTCCCCTCCTCCCCTCCTCCCCTCCTCCCTGCCTCCCTAGTGAGCTGAGCGTTTTGAAATGATGGAGCAGGGACAGAGCCCAGGGCAGGGCCGGGTTAAGTCCTCTGGAGCCTGCTCTCAGCACGGGCCGCATTTGATCCTTCATTCACAGTGACGTGCAAGGCCCGAGAGCAAGTTGCTGGCGATGGTAGAGCCACCTTATTGAAATAGCATGTTAGCATTTAAACAATATTAATACTATTTGACTCATTAAATATACAAAGGCCAGTTAAAGTGCTTCCATGTGTGTGTTGTTAGTTCTGGCGGGCGACTCCTCAGATGGCTTTATGTGGTTTCAGACAACATTTTAGCACATTCTTAAAATACCCACAAAAGCCTTTATGTAAAAACTCATAAATGTGAACCACATAAAAATTATTTTTTTTCCTGTTTCATGTCATTATGATCAAAGTACAGTAGGTAAGAATAAATTTTCAAAAACGTGTTGAGGTCCCTGTTTAATTAATGCTTCACGCGCAGAGCAGAGCCGTAAGCCATGGAATGGGGGACTGTCTGTATGCCCCGCAGTCACCTCGCCAGCGACCCTGCACGCAGGGGTCCTGACAGCACTTGTCGAAGAGGCTGCCCCTTCTGGGCCGTTTCTGATCACGCCATCCTCTGCTCCCTTTGTCTGGGAACCTCGGGTTGAGACTTGCAGCCTCTCGAGTCTCTGGAGATCCCTCTCGGTGGATGGAATGCAAGTCCGTTCTTGAATTGTTGTGGTGTTGGGGCCCTACCTGTGGAGGCTGGGCCTCAGCATGTCCTCCTCACCTCGGTGGGGAACGCCCGACTGGAGGAGGGAACAGTCACAGTGAAGCCATCATTTCTTTATTAAAAGTCAAATGGACTGTCCGGGGGACTATCCCAGCTATTACAAACAATTACGTAGATCATGTGGCTCCACGGAAAAGTGCTAATTGTGCGCCAAGCGAGAAACGCTGAACGCAACACCGTACTGTTGCTGTGCTTCTAGTTCTATAAAGATGACGCATCTGGACAAAGACTGGATGGGAATTTGGAAAAATCAGATTTATGGGCTAAGTTGATATAGGGTAACGGTGGGCTAATTTTTAAGTTTCCTTTTTACATAATGTTCTTGCAATACATTTTTTAATTTGGGGGACTAGTAACCCACACAGAGGTCAGAATGGAGGTTCCATTTTTACTTCCTTTGTCTCCAGCATTTTGAAACTCTGGGTCTGGTCAGTGTGGCCCCTGCGGAAGCTGTGCAAGCCAGGGAGACACTGCCAGTGTGGGCGCCGGGCCACGGGTGGGACGCTGGCGTGGAAACAGCCAGTTCCACCTTATAAAACATTCATGCCGCTGTTTTAATTTTTCTGGAAGAAAACACATCTCAGGGATGGGTCAGAGTGGGATCAACTGCAGGCCTCCTGGCGCTTTTGAACGGGCTGCTGAGGAGTGTCGACAGGGCGGTTACACCCCAGGATCTCTCCCGGTTCCCTTCCAGGGCAGCCTGACCCGCTCTCCCACACGCTCCAGCACACAAGGCGCTGAGCCCTGGACGGACAACAGGCGCAGAGGATTGGGGCCACAGGCTGGGCGGGTGCAAATGCCCACTGGGCTTCAAGCCTTCATTCCAGGATGGCCAGCAGAGAGAAGGAATTATGGGCCCATCCTTTTTGCCAGCAGAGGAAAAGCCATGGTTTTTTAAAGTTGGCTTTTTCCCCCGCTTTTGATGTAGGGCTCCTCTCCCTACAAGCAGACCAAAAGGGAAAAACGGGTGGGAGAGCCCAGACATCTGTCACCAATAGGACGGGTGTTCACAGGTTGCTGTGGGCGGCTCCTGTCCTCCCTTGGGAGTGTTGGGGTGCCTCCTAGTGAACTTGTGAGCCAAGGGAGCCACCCAAATCCAGGAGAAAAGCCGGAAAGGCACCAGGAGCCCCTGCTGCGCACTCACCTGAGCACTGTGAGGGCGCCAGTCTACATCTCCATGCGTCCCTAGAACATTCCATGAGGGCCCACGTGCGCCCAGCGCCCTGTAGGGCTGATCAGACTGGGATGGCCCTACAGAGGGATGTGGGGCCTTAGATCCTAGACCAAAACACTTACCTGCTCCCTTGCCCTGTCCTAGGGAGGGTGTGTTTGATGGGAGGCTGGGCGGCAGTGTTGAAAAAAGATTTGGAACAAGGGAAGAATCTTCCTGAGTGGAGTCCCTAAATGCCCAGGTTGGCCGATTTCACAGAGGTCACCTAGGATGGCAGTGAGCTCTGGCCTCAGTTGTGTCTGTTCATTCACTCGCGGTTTTCCCCTCAGTGTTGCACTTGTCTGGAGCCAAACACTTCTCCGCTCTCCATTGTTTGACCGACATTTAGCCCCGGGGCTGGCATCAGGGCTGGCATCAGTATCCCGGGCAGTCCTGCCCTCACCTGCCTCCCAGGCTTTTTGCCAGGGGAGGCGGAGTCGTGAATTTCATTTGACAGCTTAATAATCGCAGTGGATGGTGCAGGCATGGAGCAGTGGGCCGGCCCCCGTCTGCCGGGAGGGATTCTGGCAAGGGTAGCGGACCATGGGAAGGAACCCGTGGGCGCCCAGTGGGCCTGCAGCTCGCGGGCAGGGGCTGTCATTCGTAAGAAAGGGCTCCTTCCTGGGTCTGTTTGTCCCTTGGTTACACTCTGGTGTTTATCACATACTGACCTTTGCACAAAAACTTTTTAGTTTGAAATAGTTAAAGATTTATAGTAAAATTAGCACAAAAAGAAAAAGTACAAAGAATTCTCATGTTTCTTCACCTGTATTCTCTAAATATTAACATTTTATATTTCCATTACGTAGCAGCTTTATTTGAGCTGTAATTTGCAGACATGTTTACTTTTAGTACTTGTTTTTGTTATTAAAATTAATGGTAATCTTGAGTTGGGTATCTACTTCCCTATATTGTCTTTGTCTCCTAACTGTCCTAAGTAAGGCCCCATTCGCACGGTTGGTACCTGGTAGCCCTCAGTGAATAGTTGTCGGGTGGATGATTGTGTGAGCAGAGCCGGTAACTGGCGGGGCAGGGGCTGGATCACCGCAGCCGTGCTGCCTGCCTGCTCGTCACGCCTGAGGTCACAGTCCTGCAGGGTCCCAGAGTGCCTGCTGCACCGTTGAGCAGGGGTCAGTTGGGGTCAGCGAGGCCACAGACATCCTGGTGAAGAAGGTGCTGGCACCGAGGAACGTCTTTCCAGTTTAGTTGCCATCGGAACGCGAGGCACTGCACACCCGCCGATGGTCCTTTGCTTTCTGAGCTCCTCAGATTTGAGCTCCTCAGAAGCTCGCAGCTTCCTGACTCCGTCACCTCCATTGGCCTCGGTCTCTTGGATTTGGGAGCCTAACCTGATTGCCGTTTCTCCTCTGGCCTTTTGTTTCCTTCTTGCATTTGCTGTTAATTAGGAATGTTTCCTTATTGACTCAGTTTGAGGAGGAGGCTTAGTCCCAGTCTTAGCCCTTCGTTCCTGGCTAGAGGGTGGCAGCAGGTTGCTCTGAAAGACCATAGCAGCCCTGGTGTGCCCAGGCTCTGGAGGGTTCTGGGTGAAGAGGTGTTTGTTGCTCTGTTTTTCCTTTTGGACTTCCCTGTAAAATAGCCATTCCAAAAGTTAGAGATATTGGACTGTAACGGTGACTCAGTAGTAATGACTCCCACTGAGTGTCTGCTATACATCACACACTTTGCTGCATCCTTCATCTGGGAGGACCCTGAAGCCCGGAGAAATTTGGTACATCTGCCAAAGACCACAAAGCTACAGTACGTGGCAGAGCTCAGACTCAGATTCACCTTGAGGACCCCGAAGCCACATTCTTTCTGTGACCTGCCTGCCTCCCACCCGCCCCGGGGATACTGTCCCCGCAGCTCCGACCATCGGATGTGCATGAGATATGCGAGCATCAACTCTGGGCCCAGTGCAGGGAGGGCTCCTTAATCCCAGACCGACACTTAGGTGAATCTTTGCCGAATGACAACCCCTGGACCTGGGCTGATGGTCTGTAATTTGACAGGCTTAACATCTAATGGGCACGTGGTTCTTTGCCTGCAGGTATTTTGAAGGCGGCGTGTCATCTGTCTACCTCTGGGATCTGGATCATGGCTTTGCTGGCGTGATCCTCATAAAGAAAGCTGGAGACGGATCCAAGAAGATCAAAGGCTGCTGGGATTCCATCCACGTGGTGGAAGTGCAGG